CCATTCACGAATTGATGGGTACTTGGGGGTGATTCTACATCTTTGCAATTGTAAATTGTGAGACAATAACCATTCTCTGTTCAGGAGTCTTTTTGAGAGAAAGATTTCTTTTTCTTTGGGTAAGTACCCAGTAGAAGGATGGCTGGATAGAATGGTCGGTCCACCTTTATGTCTTCGTGGAATCTCCATACTGTTTTCCATAGAGGTTATACTAATTTGCATCCCCACTAACAGTGTATAAGCCTTCCTTTTTCTCTGCGTCCACACCAGCATCCTTGTTTTTGAACTTTTCACTGAAAGCCACTCTATCAAAGGTATGGTGATATCTCATTGTGGTTTTCAGTTTGCATTTCTCTGATTATATGTAGCAGTGAACATTTTTTTTACATGTTCCTTGGCCATTTGTCTACCTGCTTTTGAATATCTTTTGTTCATGTTTTTTGTCCACTTTTTAATGTTTTTTTTTCCCTTGCATATATGCTTGAGTTCTTTGTAAATTTTGGATATTACTCTTTATCAATTATAGAGCTGGCTAATGTTTTCTCCCATCCTGTGCATTCTGTAAGTTGTCTATCTACTCTGTTCATTGTTTTCTTACCTGTGAAGAAGATCTTTAGTTTAAAAAAATCTCATTTATTTCATTAAATCCTATTTATTTTTGCTGTTGCTATTATTGCCTTTGGGGTCTTATTCATAAACTCATTGCTTAGGCTGATATCTAGAAGAGTTTTCCCATCATTTTCCTCTAGAATTCTTAGATTTTGTGCTTCACATTAAGTTTTTATCTATCTTGAAATAATCTTTGTGAATGGTAGGAGGTACAGGTCCTGTTTTATTCTTCTGCAACCTTTATTGACTAGAGCTTCTTTTCCCCAGTATGATTTGCAAAGATCAGTTGGCTGTAGGTAGACGGTCTTATGTCTGGGTTTCCTATTTTTGTTCTATTGGTCTATGATTCTATTTTTGTGCCAATACTGTATATGTAGAAGTTTTGGCTACTATAGCCATGTAGTATAATTTATATTCTGATAATGTGATGCCTCTGAATTTGTTCTTTTCACTTAGGATTGCTTTGGTTACTCTGGTTCTTTTCTGATTCAAAATGAAGCATACAATTATTTTTTCCAGGTCTGTGAGGTATGATTATAGTATTTTGATAGGGATTATTTGAATCCGTGAATCACTTTGTGTCAGATGAACATTTTAACAATTTTGATTCTGCCAATCCATGAGCATAATAGGTTTTTCTATTTGTTCCTGTTCTCTGATTTCCTAATGTTTCATAGTTACCTCTTAGGGAATTTTTATCTCCATGGTTAAGTATAGTCTTGGGTATTTTATTTTCTTTGTAGCTATTGTGAATGGTATTGACTTTCAATTTGACTATTGTAGGTATATAGAAATACTACTGATTTATGTACACTGATTTTGTATAGTAAGACTTTGTTGAATTTATCGATCAATCCAGGAGTCTATTGAAGGAGATTTTGGAGTTTCCTAGGTACAAGGTCATGTTATTGGTGAAAAACAATACTTTAGCTTCCCTTTTTCCCAATTTTGATATCCTTTGTACTTTCTCTGGCCTGATTTCTCTGACTAGGACCTATAGCACAATGTTGAATGTAAGTGGTGACAGTCGGCATCCTTGTTTTGTTCTAGTTCTTA